GAAGGAAGAGATGAACGGATGGAACACAGGATTTCCATGACGCTGAAAGGATTGCTCAATGCATGTGATTAGAAACCTGTCAAAACCTGGCTGAGCGTGGTGGCTCATGCCTGTAATCCCAGCACTTTGGGAGGCCAAGGTGGGAGGGTCACTTGAAGTCAGGAGTTCAAGACCAGCCTGGCCAACATGGAGAAACCCTGACTCTACTAAAAATACAAAATTAGCTGGGCATGGTGGCAGACACCAACAATAACTATAATCCAAGCTACTCAGGAGGCTGAGACAGGACAATTTCCAGAACCCAGGAGGTGGAGATTGCAGTGAGCCAAGATCGTACCACTGCACTCTAGCTTGGGTGACAGAGCAAGACTGTCTCAAAAAAAAGAACCCTGCAAAACCAAAAATTAACAAGTCTTTAATACATCATGTCAACTTTATATTAAGCTTACTGTTCGTCAAAATCTCCTTAGATTCAAAGTTTGTAGATTAGTTTTCTTTTCCCTTCAGTAGAATTCCTGAATATGCTTGGAGCTTGCTGAAAAATAGGCAGTGGCGATAGCCATATAACTTCAAAAGCTAATTTATAAAAATCTTTCAAATACTTTACCTTAGGCTGGGTGCAATGGCTCATACCTGTAATCTCAACAGTGTGGGAGGCCAAGGCTGGTGGATCATTTGAGGCCAAGAGTTCAAGATCAGCCTGGCCAACATGCTGAAACCCCAAATGTACAAAAAAATACAAAAATTAGCTGGGGGTTCTGGCACACGCCTGTATTCCCAGCTACTCATGAGGCTGAGGCATGAGAATTGCTTGACCCCAGGAGGCAGAGGTTGCAGTGAGCCAAGATTGCGCCACTGCACTCCAGCCTGGGTGACAGAGCAAGACCCCTATCTCCAAAAAAAACCTTTACACCTTCCTTCTATTCTTTGGATATGGTTATGGCGTTTGTAGGCTTGGAGGTAAAGAACTGAAGATAACTGGTGCTGGATAGAGGAGGCTTTATTTTTATTATGGCAGCTTGCTATTTTTATAACATGGTCATTGAGTTGAAAACAATCAAAGTACAGAAGCAACTGATCTTCCCTTCTTCCTGGATGAGTGAGCAGATTATTAAATACTGATGTCAGCATCCCTGAACTATATAAAAGTGAGCAGTGTTTGGCTACGCTTCTGTTTGAAATGATACTGTGTTTTGGTTGTTGTCCGAAGCTTTGAAGCGCTACTTAGCATCTCCTTTCTTCCATGGAGCTCTCACCATTCAAACATGACAGATTTGGTAAAATACTAGTTAGGTTGAGTCTTCCTTGCCCCCACTCGGTCATCTTTGTATGAATCCCATAGTTTGGGATTTTTTTTTCTTTTTTTTTTTTCCTTTTTTTAAAACCAGTTTTTAGCTGGTGTTCATTAAGAACAGTGAGTACCTAGAACTGTGCCACTAATTTAAAGGAAATCCTAAGAAGGTGCATTTCTTTACAGAGCTGTGTCATGCCATCCTTTGGGCCCTCTGCTGGAAAAGTAGAATCAAGTCTCAAATAATGCCTTTTAAATTGTATCCTCTAGTATTATAGATATAGGACAGTACTGTATCATACCTCTGTGAATGTCAAATATCTTGTACCTGCTTTATGATATGTAGTATGACCGTGCTTTATCAGAGCTGTTTTTAATGATGTTATTCTAGAATGTTCTCTTTCCAGACGATGATTCAGAAGCTAATTTTTAAAAATGGTGCCAGGTACCACAACAGTAACAGAACTTTGCAATTTTTGGGGGTTTTGTTTTTTTACCTTTTTTTCCCCTTTTTTTTAAATGGAGTGTGCTGGATGTCTCTATAACTTTGTTCAGATGACTGCAGAACCTGGAAAAGCGGTTGCTGCTATTGATGCATAACATACTGCTATTATTGGTCTTTTTATATAAATATATATTTTTTTATATATATATATTTATATATATATATATATATATAATTTGAATTTTTGGAAACTTTAGCTGTGCTGTCAACTTTGGAAAAAGTATCCCAGTTTACTGTGTTGAGTTGGCATTGTACAGAAATTAACAGCCATATTGGTCTAGAAACGTTAAACTTAATTTTTTTCCATTTGTACAGGGGTAACACACTGTATTAAATATGTAAGGTCTTATCTACATGGGTTTGATTACAGAAACTAATAAAGTATTCTCTAAATAATGAAAAAAAAAAAAAAAAACCTTTACACCAAAAAATAGAATTCTGGCCAGCCGCAGGGGCTCATGCCTATAATCCTGGCACTTTGGAAGGCCAAGGTGGGCAGATCACTTGAGGCAAGGAGTTCAAGACCAGCCTGGCCAATATGACAAAACCCCATCTCTACTAAAAATACAAAAATTAGCCGGCATGGTGGCACAGGCCTGTAGTCCCAGCTACCAGGGAGGCAGAGGCAGGAGAATTGCTTGAATCTGGGAGGTGGAGGTTGCAGTAAGCCAATATTGTACCACTGCACTCCATGCTGGGTGACAGAGCAAGACTGTATCTCAAAAAAAATTTCTTTTGGCTGGGCACGGTGGCTCATACCTGTAATCCCAGCACTTTAGGAGGCTGCGGGTGGATCACCTGAGGTTGGGAGTTTGAGACCAGCCTGACCAACATGAAGAAACACTGTCTCTACTAAAAAATATAAAATTAGCCAGGCGTGGTGGCACATGCCTGTAATTTCAGCTACCCAGGAGGCTGAGGCAGGAGAATTGCTTGAACCCAGGAGGCGGAGTTTGCAGTGAGCCAAGATCATGCCTTTGCACTCCAGCCTGGTGACAGAACAAGACTCCTTCTCAAAAAAATAAAACAAAGTAAAATAAAAAATCAAATAATTTTAAAAATTTTAGTATATATATAATTAATGTGAACTGTAGGTGCACTCTAATGTCCAGCATTCTGTCATGTGAGGTGAGAACCCCAAAGGAACAGGCTTCTGGACCACAGAGATTTGAGCACAGCCCTGGAAATGGGGAGGAGGGAGCCACTGCAAGCCCTGTGGCAAGCCGGGCTCTTCTCTTCCTTACTTATTCCGTCTTCCGAGCCCTCAGCTCGCTGTCCAGGGAGGGTGAACAAAGCCACTGCCTCTGGCCTTTGTGCTTCACCCCTTCTCCACAAGCAGAGGACAAGGAGGGGAGGAAGATTCCACCTGCCAATCTGGAAGCTTCAGAGAGTAATTTTGGAAACAGGAGCTTGACATTATGATGAAAATGAAGCTTTTGTTCATTCTGTGTTACTTCAGGGCTCCTGGCCACATAAACCTGGGCCCTAACACAGACAGAGCTTCATTCTCCCACTTGCTACTTTCACCAGCCCCATAAAGGACAATCAGTTTTCTTTTATTTGAGAATGGAGTTGCGCTCTTCTTGCCCAGGCTGGAGTGCAATGGCACGATCTCGGCTCACTGCAATCTCTGTCTCCTGGGTGCAAGTGATTCTCCTGCCTCAGCCTCCCAAGTAGCTGGGCCACCATACCTGACTACTTTGACTAATTTTTGTATTTTTATTAGAGATGGGGTTTCACCACATTGGCCAGGCTAGTCTCGAACTTCTGACCTCAGGTGATCCAGCCACTTCGGCCTCCCAAAGTGCTGGGATTACAGGTATGAGCCACTGCACCTGACCAGTTTTATTTTCTTGATTGTGCAAGATAAGAAAACTAAGTCCTGTCGCCCCCCCACCCTTGTTTTTGAAGAAACAGGATCTCACTCTGTTGCCCAGGGTGGAGTGCAATGATGATCTTGGCTCACCACAACCTTGACCTCCCAGGCTCAAGTGACCCTCCCACCTCAGCCTCCTAAAGTACTGGGTTTACAGGCATAAGCCACCATGCCTGGCCAAGTCCAGTGACTGTCATATCCCTGTGTGACAGGCAGGGAACTGTCTCGACCCAGCCAGGAGTGAGAGAGTGTGGTGCCTTAGAAGGAAAGAAGACGGACATCTGGGGGCATGAGCCCAGCTTGGCCATTAGACACTGTGTGACCCTGGCCGAGTCCCTCGACCTCCTGAGGTCTCAGACATCCTGCCTAAAAAATGCCCCCTCTGGGGTTGTCATGAGGCTCAGATGAGTCAAGCCACGTTGGAAAATCAGGAGGAAGCTCTGCAAACATAAAGCATGATCTCCAGGCTGGGCGAGGTGGCTCATGCGGTAATCCCAGCACTGTAGGAGGCTGAGGCAGGAAGATTACTTGAGATTAGAAGTTCCAGACCAGCCTGGCCAACATGGTGAAACCCCCGTTTCTACTCAAAATATGAAAAAATTATCTGGGCATGGTGGTGCATGCTTGTAATCCCAGCTACTCGGGAGGCTGAAGCAGGAGAATCACTTGAACCTGGGAGGTAGAGGCTACAGTGAGCCGAGATCACGCTACTGCACTCCAGCCTGGGTGACAGAGTGAGACTCTGTCTCAAAAAAAAAAATTCACAGTTTCTCATATTGGAGAGATGCCCCTGAAGGGGGGTATCCCCATGGCCCTGCTTTTCCTGCCTGACCCTTCACCTTCTTTTTTGTAGAGAGCAGAAAACAAGAGCTTTCTTCTTAAACCTCTGAGAAACCCTCGTCCTGCCTGTCAGGTGCTTTGAGCTAAATAGACTCAATATAGGAAAGGTGGAAAAGCTGACCCAAGCTGATGGACAGAGAGTCTGCGTGGGAAGGGCGGCTTCAGCAGCACAACCTGTCCTGCCTGTTACCTGCTGGGCGGGTCGGATGAGGTGGGGTAAGAGGATAACACCGCAGGAAGGGGCCGGCAGGGACAGGGAGCTGAGTGAAAGACAGATGCTGCCCTCTCTGGAAGAGCCACCCGGTTTCTGGGCCCGTCAGCCCTCATGTTCAGCCCTCATGTTCAACCCACATGTTGGAGGCCCCCAGCTCTGAGGCCATGCTCTGGGTCTCTGTGCAAGCCACTCCTGGCAGGGGTACGTGTCACCTGCCTTCCCCCGCAGGCTGCCGGCAGCTTGTGGACAGGAGCCCCTCCCCTCCTCCCCTTACCTGTATGGCCATTGTTGACCATGAGGAACTCGCCCACCTGCGACTCGTAGCCTGTCAGGTTGAGCCCCTTCAGGGCAGGGTTGTACCGCACCTTCGTCCTCTGTAGGTCAATGGGTGACTGTCTCTGGCCCCCACAGTGGGGGTAGTACTTCGGCCAGTGCGCCTCATCCAGTGCTCCTTCTGAGACAGGAAAGAGACAGTTGAAAGGGCTGCCTGGCCAAGCTCGCTCTGCAGGAACCTCACCACACCAGAGGCCGGGGGGCCTGCTGGGCGGGGGCCCACGGGACACCTTCTAGAAAGCAGAATCGGGGCCCCCAGAAGGAGGCCAAAAACACAATGACTTCAGCTCCAAGGACTCTGGAGTTTGGGGGCTTTGGTGCTAACCTCTAACTTTCTTGTGGCAACCGCTGGCCCTGGGAACAAGACTCATTGTTTTGAAGTCAATGAAAATCTTTTTTTTTTTTTTTTTTTTGAGACAGGGTCTCGCTCTGTCACCCAAGCTGGAAAGCAGTGGCTTGATCTCAGCTCACCGCAACCTCTGTCTCATGGGTTCAAGCAATTCTCCTGCCTCAGGCTCCCAAGTAGCTGAGACTTACAGGCACACGCCACCACACCTGGCTAATTTTTGTGTTTTTATTAGAAACGGGGTTTCCCCATGTTGCCCAGGCTGATCTCGAACTCCTGACCTCAGGTGATCCGCCTACCTCGGCCTCCCAGAGTGCTGGGATTACAGGTGCGAGCTACCGTGTCCAAGCTGAGAGAGTTTTAGACATCACGTTTTGCTCTCCTTTGACTCCTTTCCAGCTGACTGATGCATGGAGGGGACCGTGGCTTGCTATTCCTGTGCCGCTCCAGGGGACTCTTCCTCATTCCCTCTCAATGGCCCTGTTGTCCTTCCATGCCCCCAACAGGAACACAGGCCCACCTCCTCATGCTGCAGGACCCCCCCACCACCATTTTCTTGCTCCAGCCCCTTTTATAAATTCCCAGGATGGCAAAGACCACCTGGGTGTCTGCACTTATGGGTTGAGGGAAACTAAGGAAGCGTCAGGTTCCAGGACAACCTAGAGTGAGTACTTTTAAAAAACTTCATAAGGAGAAAGTTTACCTTTTCAGGGAGGATTGATAATCATAGGGGACAGAGTAACAAAGGTGAGTCATTATCATAGGTGACCGGGCCCCCAAACAGCTGTGGAACTTGGTGTCATCTATGTGACATGGAGAATCTAGCCTCTGTTCCCTGTTCAGGAGGTGGGTGTGTGGTGAGTACACAGCTTGTTTTTTTGTTTGTTTTTTGGGTGTTTTTTTGAGACTGAGTCTCACCCTGTCACCCAGGCTGGAGTGCAATGGCACAATCTCGGCTCACTGCAACCTCTGCCTCCCAGGTTCAAGCGATTCTCCTGCTTCAGCCTCCCAAGTAGCTGGGACTATGGCATTTGCCACCATGCTTGGCTAATTTTTTGTAGTTTAGTAGGGACGAGGTTTTACCTACATTGGCCAGGCTGGTCTCGAACTCCTGACCTCGTGACCCACCCATCCCAAAGTGCTGGGATTACAGGCATGAGCCACCTCACCCAGCCCACAGCTTGTTTTAAGAAAAGTGTTTGTACTAGGGCCTCTCACAGCTTTTTGGTTTGTAATCAAGGCAATCTAGCACAATGCCTTCTCAGAGCAAGATGCCCAGGGCGCTGTCAATACTGGGCCATCTCTCAGGTATTCCTGGAAGGCATTTACAAAAGCTACTCCCAAATTCTCCCTCTGTCTCCTGGACAGCCCGACTGAAAGCCCCCATTGGCTTTCCAGGAAGCCCCACTGCCTCAGAGACTGGGCAGAGCCTGGGGAGGACATGGCCTTTATTTTCTAAATTCTGTCTTCCTTCACCTCTGAACCACCTCCTGGCACTGCTTGGCCAAAGGAAGCCAAATGAAGCAAAATGCCCCAGGCTCCCAAGGCACTGCCAGGCGTGTAAGATCGCTGTGCTCGGGAACGGAGGGGTTGGTCGGAGCTGGCTGGACTTTCTGAACTTCCCAGGATGTTCCTAATTTCGTTGCCCTTGACTTAATGGAGCATCCCATGCACCCTGAAGGAATGGTCCCTGAGCAGCTGAGCTGGGGAAGACTCTGCAGGAGGCAAACGTTTGTCTCACCTCCTGCATCAGCCAGCAGCCGCCATCTTCCTCATGGGCCCCAATCCATGGTCCTATACAGAAAGGAGGGGACGCAGGAAGAAGCGCTCCTCGCTGCCCCTGGAAAGGGCTGTTTAGTGTCCACAAACCTTACAGACACGCATTCTAGCTTTGGCTCACATGTGGACCAGAACCCATGCTCTAAATGTCAGGATTTTACATTTCACATCTTAAAAGTCTGGTTTGGGGCCAGTGGCGATGGCTCATGCCTATAATCCCAGCACTTTGGGAGACCAAGGTGGGCGGATCACTTGAGGTCAGAAGTTTGAAACCAGCCTGACCAATGTGGTAAAACCCCATCTCTACTAAAAATATAAAAATTAGCTAGGCCTGGTGACAAGTGCCTGTAATTCCAGCGACTTAGGAGGCTGAGACATAAGAATTGCTTGAACCCGGGAGGCAGAGGTTGCAGTGAGCTGAAATGGTACCACTGCACTCCAGACTGGGCAACAGAGCAAGACTCTGTCTCAAGAAAAAAAAAAAAAAAAGTCTGGTTTTGTCAGACACAGTGGCTCACACCTATAATCCCAGCACTTTGGGAGACCGAGGCAGGTGGATCATGAGGTCAGGCATTCAAAACCAGCCTGCCCAACATGGTGAAAGCTCATCTCTACTAAAAATACAAAAAAATTAGCTGGGCACGGTAGTGCACACCTATAATCCCAGCTACTCAGGAGGCTGAGGCAGGAGAATTGCTTGAACCAGGGAGGCGGAGGTTACAGTGAGCCGAAATCATGCCACTGTACTCCAGCCTGGGCAACAGAGACTTCACCTCAAAAAAAAAAAAAAAAAAGAAGTCTGGTTCTGGCAGCCCACAGACCATCTAAAGGAAACATCTTATCTCAAGACGTTCCAGGTAAACTGTCTACCGTGAAATTTCCAGGAAAGAAGGTCTCGCAAACCCTGTGGCACCTTCCGTGAGGTTACGGAGAGTCCTTTCTAAGAAATTTATTTTCCACGTACATGGACCAACAGAATAAATGGTTTTACGAAGGGAAGCAGTGAGAGGGCTTTCGAACCAGCCAACATTGTGGGTGGAAAAAAATTTAAAGCAAAAAAGCCTGCAAGTGAGTCAGGAGTTGGTGAAGGGGGAAAGCTATTTCGTCCTTTTCCTTATTTGAAATTTAACTTCAGCTTGTTCTCCATGTCTCTGAGACACCAAAAAGGTAACACCTGAAGCCGAAATGAGCCGACCCCAACAGTGTGGGCTCCCTGGCCATCCTGGGAAGTGGCCCCTCATGGAGGACTCTTGGCTGTTCACACCTGTAATCCCAGCAGTTTGGGAGGCCAAGGTGGGCGGATCACCTAAGGTCAGGAATTCGAGACCAGCCTGGGCAACATGGTGAAATCAGTCTCTACTAAAAGTACAAAAATTAGTCGGGTATGGTGGCGTGCACCTGTAGTCCCAGCTATTCAGGAGGCTGAGGCAGGAGAATCACTTGAACCCAGGATGTGGAGGTTGCATGAGCCAAGATTATGCTACTGCACTCCAGCCTGGGCGACAGAGCGGCTCCAAAAAAAAAAAGTGGGTAGGGGGTGCTTGTCCTGTCATGAGGGTAACTGAGGGAACATGCAGGAATCGGGCTTACCTGAATAGGTCCAATCGGACCCATGCTGCGCCTGGCCACCCAGCAGGAACAGGGACAGCAGAGGCACCAGGGCCCTCATGGTGCTGCACATCTGGAATGAAGACTGATTCCGTCAAAGTTCTTCTTTTAAAGGCTCAGAAGCTGTAAATAACAATTTACCACATCCAGCTGGCTGATCCGCCCTTTGCTGCACCCTCCCTACAACAATAACACCCTCCCTACAACAGCCCTTCTGGCTCCGTGCATTGGGCCAGGTGGCCCCAGCACCTGCCTCATCTCCTCCCACGTCAATTTCCATATCCAATCAGTCCATGGGTTTGGTCATTCAGTGTCTTAGGAGAGTCACCTGAAGGGCCACACAGTGCAGCCATTGTGGACAGGTAACCACAGAAATGGGAAAAGGCCCCAGGCAGGGAGAAGCAGGGTGCAGGACTTTCCTGGACAGTCTTCTGTGCCCTTTCTCCTGATGTTAGCGATCTGGAAACTGCTGACGGGATCACCACTGCTTGCAAACCCTGCAGGAACCCTCTTGGTATTTCCTGCCTGTGTCAGTCATAGACACATGGCAGGCACCTGGGGAGACTGCCTGACCTCCACATCCAGTCATTTCATGGTCCTCTCCTCAGACCAGCAGTTGATCCCGGGTCCCAGCTCATGAACCACATTCCAATGCACGCCTTGAGGCTGTGTGAGCCGGTGTGGGCATCTGCCTTTCTGCATGGATTTGTTCTGATGGCTGCAGGGCACTTGGGCACACCTAAACCAATCAGCCAATCGCCCTCACAGGATCCATGGATTACCTAATCCTGTGCATCCACTTGGCTAGACAGTCCCTGAAATTAGCTGAAGGAGAAACTTTTGAGTTTATGCCTGCTGACAGCCCAGCATTTCCCATGTCCTTCCGTGAGGTCCAACACAGGGAAGGCATGCTGCCGGACAAAGGGCCACCCCTGCCTTGTGGAGGGGAGGTGGACCCCCTCCTGGCCTAGCTTAACTCATTATCCACTTGTCCCTGGAATGGCAAATAGCAGCAGGCCTTCACAACAAGGATGTTAACTGGGAACCCAGGCTCACCTGAATATTTTAAAGGCTCCCCACTGGCATTTAATAGAGAACATCAGCTGCTGCAAAGAACTTGCTGGAAACTTCCATCTCTAAAGCTCAAGAGCTGCAAGAATCTCAGGGAACAAAGCATGGTCAAGGGCAAGGATTCTGAAACCAGACAGGGTCGTGCCACTTGCTAGCTGTGTGACCTTGGCCAAGTTACTCAGTGCTCTATGCCTCAGCTTTCCTTTCTTTCTTTCCTTTCTGTTTCTTTTTCCTTTCTCTCCTCCTCTCTTTCTTTCTCTTTCCCTTTTTCTTTTCTCTCCTCTCCTTTCTCTCTCTCTCTCTCTCTCTTTCTCTCTTTCTCTTTCTTCTCACTTCTGGACTCAAGTAATCCTCCTTCCAAGTAGCTGGGACCACAGTTGCATGCCACTACACCCTGCTAATTTTCATACTTTTTGTAGATACGGGTTTTCACCATTTTGCCTAAGCTGGCCTCAAACTCCTGGACTCAAGCAATTCTCCCACCTCATGCTCCCAAAGTGGTGGGATGACAGACAGGAGCCATCACACCTGGTTGCCTCCTTTCTTTAAAAGGAATTAGCGATAGCAGGGATTTGGCAATAAATGTGCCTGCAGTACTTGGAGCAGTGCCTGGTGTGTGGAAAATGGCATTCATTTTTATTCAGAGCCCTCATTTTACAGAAGAAGGAAGTGACTTACCATTGCCACCCAGCTGGTTAGTGAGAGAACTGGAGGAAAAATGACTCAATCTCCAGCTTACGGAGATTGAGATTTCTTTGCAGAAATGAGAAGCCCACTCTCCTGTCCTTGCTAAATCAGTGACGCCCACCTGCTGACCCCCAGCCCTTCAGAAAGGGCCACCTTGTAAATCACAAGACCCCACCTCAGCTGAGAAGAGCAAAACCCTTTACAAACTCAGGCAGGACCCTTGACATCAAACTGGCAAGAAAACACGAACTCTGCCATCTGACTTTTCTCTTGGGAATCTGAATTGGGAGACCCAGAAAGGATCAGGGAACTGCAGGTGGGCAGAGACTGAAGTGTCAGGATGTCATGGAAGCCTGGGAGGCCTGGATGAGCCCACACGTGTCGGGGAGGGGGGGTTGTGAGGTGCAGGGGGGAGCTGGAGCGGGAAGGAGCTCCGAAAAAGTCTGGGCCACAGGGTAGGGGGAGACTACCCAGAGAGGGAGGAAGGAAAGCGCCCTGGGGAGTCAGACAGAGGGGTGCTCGGGGAGAGAACATGGTGAAATGGAGAGGGCCCACCACTCCTGGCAGCGCCCCCCCCACCCCAGCCCCTCGGGTCTCTGCTTGCACTGAGCATCTAGGGCTTCCCAGGAGAGCCCTGGGACTTCCCTTGCCTCACACAGTCCCTTAAAACAGTGCACGGCTGGGAGCGGTGGCTCACACCTGTAATCCCAGCACTTTGGGAGACCGAGGTGGGAGGATCACAAGGTCAGGAGATCAAGACCACCCTGGCTAACACGGTGAAACCACATCTCTACTAAAAATACAAAAAAATTAGCTGGCATAGTGGCACGCTCCTGTATTCCCAGCTACTCCAAAGGCTGAAGCATGAGAATTGCTTGAACCTGTGAGGCAGAGGTGGCAGTGAGCAGAGATCGTGCCACTGCACTCCAGCCTGGGTGGCAAGAGCGAGACTCCATTTCAAAAAACCCACAGTGCACATACTGTGTGTGTGAGGCTGTGATGCCAGCAGCCCCACCGCAGAGCCCCATGCAGCATATCCACCATCCCATCCGAAGCTTTGCCCTGGTTTCTCCTTTCCGTCAGCCAAGAGCCAGGGCTGGTCAGCAGCCTGTTGACCTGGTTGGTGATGAGAATCGGTGTGAAAGTGTGTAATTAGGGCAATATGGGGTCAGATCAGATGGTGGGCTCTTGGAGTAGCAAGGCCATCTGCCAACAAGGGGACATTACTAGAGAGAGGGTCCTCTCCCTCCACTGTGCAGCACCCTGCCAAGACATACTGGACCCAGAATCAGGTATGGTCAGAAGACTAATTTCTGACTCATTGTCTTCTTCAACCCTGAAATTTTCCACCACCTTTCAGCGTGAGTCTGCTTCTTGGATTTGGGAGGCACGTTGTTTGTTTGGGTTTGCTTTTGTTATTGTTGCTGTCGGGTTTTTGTTGTTTTTTGGTTTTTGGTTTTCCTTTTGAGACAGGGTCTCACTCTGTTGCCCAGGCTGGAGGGCAGTGGTGTGATCATGGCTCACTGCAGCCTCCCAGGGCTCAGGTGATCCTCACACCTCAGCGACCTGTGTTCCCTACCCCATACCCACTCCAAGTGGCTGGGACTCCAAGTGCATGTTCTACGTCTGGTCTGTGTTTGCTGCTTTTATTTTTAGTATGTCTCTCTATGCTCTGAGCTTCCTTCTGCCTTCATCCAGCCACATCCTCAGCTGATCAAGGTTGTTTTCTTTAATTCTAAACTCCTGTTTTTCTAGGACCTATGGTTGGAGTGCTGTCTGAGATGCACTGACAAGCATATCATTATCATTACAACATAAGGTCAAAGGGAGAAAGGAGCCTTTGTTCTTCTTTGGTTCTATCACTGCTCCTTGGCAAGCCCACTGAGGCAAGGAAATAGAAGGGGGCAGGGAGGCATGGCCAGCCAGGGTGGACAGAAAGGCACCATCAGCCCAGGTGAGCAGGGACAGGACCAGATGACTAGCAAAGGCTCCATCAGCCCAGGTGAGCCAAGGCTCAGGTCTGCACAGGACCAGCAATAAAAGAATGAATCTGGCTACACAAGAATATGCATATTTTGGCCAGGCGAGGTGGCTCATGCCTGTAATCTCAGCACTTTGAGAGGCCGAGGTAGGTGGATCATGAGGTCAGAAGTTCAAGACCAGCCTGGCTAAGATGGTGAAATCCTGTTTCTACTAAAAATACAAAAATTAGGTGCAGTGACAGGTGCCTGTAATGCCAGCTACTCAGGAGGCTGAGGCAGGAGAACTGCTTGAACCTGGGGGCAGAGGTTGCAGTGAGCTGAGATCACACCATTGCACTCCAGCCTGGGTGACAGAATGAGACTCCATCTTGAAAATAAAAATAAAAAGAATATGCATATTTTGGCTGTAAGTAACACAGGCTATTGTTCTGTTTCCTGCAGGAGGGTGAGCGCTCTGGAATTCTGAAGAATGAGTCACTCTAAACAAGTAAGTTCTAGACGGTTATAGGCTCAATGCTATATAAGCACCAAGATGATTAAAACCTCGAAAGTGTACCATACTTTTGCCTCCTTTTTAAAGAGATAAAGCTAAACAAGGTTAAACTTTTCTTAATGACTGAGTCCCACTAATGTGAACATCAGTTATCCTCCTGCATTGTAATATATTGATGACTGCTGGGCCTATAATATATACATGTAATTCTCCCTGCAAAAGCGACCCCTGACTGGGCAAGGTGGCTCACGCCTATAATCCCAGCACTTTGGGAGGCCAAGGTGGACAGATCACCTGGGGTCAGGAGTTCGAGACCAGCCTGGCTAACATGGTGAAACTCATTCTCTACTAAAAATACAAAAATTAGCTGGGCATGGTGGCGGACGCCTGTAATCCCAGCTACTTGGGAAGCTGAGGCAGGAGAATTACTTGAACCAGGGTGGTGGAGGTTGCAGTGAGCTGAGATCACGCCATTGCACTCCAGCCAGAACAACAAGAGCGAGACTCTGCCTCAAAAAAAAAAAAAAAAGAAAAGAAAAAAAAGAGAAAAGAAACGAGCCCTAACTGTAATGATTTTGGATTTCTTTTACCAGATACTGAGAGGGGAAAGTTAGCTAGCTTACTTGATTACTAACTCTGCTCATGGGAGCAGATTATTAACATCCAGATTATTAATATAATAATAATAATATCCAGATTATTAACATCCACAAGGCCAGGGCATAACCAATCAGGACAGAAGCCAGACTTGGTATGGAGAAGAGTCTGGAAGCTCCCTGCTCTGCCAGGAGTTAACCCTGGATTGGCGGACTCTAGGGAGATTGGGAGGTTCTTGGGAAGGGCTAAGCAGCAGAAGCAGCTGGAGGTATCACTGTGTGTGTATTGATTTGTTTTTTCATTCTCAGCATTTCTTTTTTTTTTTTTAGATGGAGTTTCACTCTTGTTGCCCAGGCTGGCATGCAGTGGCACGATGT